CAATAAAATGAAGATAGTTTTGTTCATGTTCATGTTACACTGCCACAGATCGAAGTCTGCAATGTCACTATAGTATTTAATTTGTTTGCAATATCGCATGATGGCCTCACCGCGAGCGCTGTCGGGTAAATATATAAATTGGATGAGTCCACCATACGTGTGACCCTTAGGCGACCAGAAATCCTACCTATGTACCAGTAGGTAGTGTCGTGGGAAAAAGTGTGCAATCTTCAAAAGGTTATTTTCTTGACCGTCGTTGAATCCAACTGTAATCAATGGTATATCGAGGTGGGGTGGGACTCTGAAAGGTGAACCGAATAATGTGGGCTCTAAGGTGTGCATGACTAAAGTAAGGCTCGTGACCTTTATTATAATTGTTATCAATAAATGGTAGAAACGTAAAAAATAAAAATAAGGTCAAATATAGTTTAACATCTCTTAGCTTTATCTATTGTGTTTTTTTTTACATTTGTACCATTTTACAAGAAACTGCTCGTTGTAGACTTCTCAAATGTGATAGGCAAAAAGTGCCATATTTCTACCTGTCTTACTAAAATTAAAAAAAAACAAACTAAGATATAATTCTTTTATTATTCTGTCAAATAAAGACACAATTTTCTAACACCATATTTATAAGATTGACACTAGTTCCATGGAAGCTCAAGGTATAAACAAACAAAAGTGTGCAAATTATTAGATTGAAGTTGATTGAATTAGCTAATGAAAAAGGTACATGTGCAAAAAATACAAAAAAAAAATTGTAAATGAAATCAAACATATTTTAGCTTACATTACTATTTTTATGCATCTGCCACTTACCAATAACGATTGTGTTAAATTGCACAAGCCTAACTTCGGCTACAATAATTTGAGAGCCCATTTTATTAGTTTTATTTTCAAACTTCACTGCACCTTAATTTGTGACGTTTCATGGGAAATAGGCTAAAACCTCTGGAATTTTCTATGATGTGTTCACTCATAATTGCCACACGTTAGTATCCTATTATGCCATAGATGCTTTGTATGAGGGTTGGGCAGTATTGTGATACAAATGTACCGCTATAGTATTTCACAAATACTTTTAGCATTTATATTTCTGTATCGTGATACAATTTTCCAATTAGTATTTGATTTAACTATCGGAATATATTTTCGGTGTATTCCTTGTATCGCAATGCAATACCGGGCCAATGTATCTCGTTACAATGCTCAATAAATAAGTGACCCCCAACTGAGAGCTGAAGAGACTGTTTCCTTTCTTTCTCCGTGCTTCAGGGGGGTAGAAGGTGCAGTAAATGGGACCTTGAGACTTTGTCATCATGCAGACCAAGGTTTGTCTCAAACATTATGACCCTGAGATTGGAGACTCCCTTATATATTTTCCAGAGATAACACGTCTTTTGGGGTGTTTCAGTGGGGCAACTGTTGTTGTTGAACCAAAACGTTGAAGGTGCTGTGTGTACGAGCTTTACAAGTGTACATTTTCTAGAGTGAGCGTAAAGTTTCTTTTTTCAGATCATCAAATAAACAAACATTATTTCAGTTCAAGGTGACATCTTAGAATGACTGCAGAAAAGGCACCGACACGGGACTAGAGGGTGCTGACCTTTCGGTGATATTTGGATATATTTAAAACGAATTTAGAGGATCATATGATAGTGCTTTGAATGCGTTCTACATCTCTAAAGGAGAACTGCGTTTCATGCAGGATGGAAAGTATTTTCAATCTATTGAGGACCCCCATATTTCTCACAGCTTCATGTTAAAAGGAAAATTGCAATTCTATGCGAAACTAATTTCGGGTTCGTGAGTTATTGTCTTCACTGGGGGACTTCTTTTTTACCTTAAAAGTACAAACCCTGTCAGCGAAGCCTGCATATTACTACCTCCAAACAAAGTCTTCATACACATTAAAAAAAAAAATTTGTATGGTTTCAAATTTTTTTGTGAAAGCGGTCTTCGTTTGTTTTAATATAAACCCGTGTTCATTGACACTTGTGGACTGCTTAATTTTTGTCACTATAATATAACTCGTTGCCCAAATCAACAGCGGCTGCCCGGCGGGTTCTTTAAAAAGTTACTTCTCATCAAATGTAGTTGAGTGTAGCGGCGAAGTCGTATGCTTACTTTTGTTTGGGATTGCGTCCATAAAAAAGAAAAATAGAATATGTAGCAAAAGGTTGTTTCTTTTTTGTTTTCTGAATCGTAACCTTTTCCCAGTGGTATATAAAAAATGACAATGCAATTTTTTTTTTTTTTTTAAGAAAAATGTATTTGAGCGATAGTGCCCTGGCAAAATTTGAATTCCTGTATTTGTATTTCCAACTACTTTTTCATTTTTCAAATGTATTTCTGATAGGTATCATGACACTTCAGTAAGGAAAGTATTTCATGTGTCAGTATTTTAGCTGTCTTTGTCATGAACCGAGTATTTGTATTTCCAAATACCGTACATCTTCACTGCCCAACCTTGCTTTGTATGCCGTCTTTTTTAAACAATCATTGGATGGTGTTTCTATACAATGTGCTAGACGTTACAAATGTTGTTCTAAAAAAAAAAAGTACACTATTGTGAGCTTCGACAATAACACCATTAAGCTTTCTCCTCTCTTTTTTAATCGTTGCAGGTCGACTTCTTTTCTCCTTGGACAAAGGTGCTGTGCCAATTCGCCTGGATGTGCCATTCAGGGTTATCTCGAAGGTACAGAAGGAGTGTCTCTTTGGCAAGGACCGGCACAACACCCAAGAAGAAGGAGCAACTTCAATGGTCAAGATCGTTACTGAAATGGTTTTAATAATTATTATAGCAGTGTAATTATTATAGCAGCAGGTTCACCTCTTCATTTTACACAAATGTAGTGATCAAAATTTCCATGTTGTTCCTTATGAGGAGATAGCAGTATAATCATGTGTTGTTTAATCACGCAGCTAATTAAAACATAAATAGTATAATCATGTGTTGTTTAATCATGCAGCTAATTAAAACAAATATATATTTAAAATCTTTCATCCTTAGACATTAGACCAGAAATTTCGATAGACTCTTTGCTAGATACCCCAAGCACCCCGGCCCGCACTTGAGGGATCATGGGAATGGTGGTCCTTTTGTGCCCTAGTGATTGGTAATTTTGACCAGTTCCACGGTTACCGTATTTGCACGAATATAACGCGAGTTTTTTTTCGAAATTACGTGCTCCAAAACGCACCTCGCGTTATATTCGGAATCGAGTTCAGCCACGAGGCGCGCGAGTCTGGAGAAAGCCTGAGGAGAAAGTCATCCCTCCAGCTCAATGCAAAAGATCCAATGGAAAAAGAAGTGGGGGTGTGGAGGGGCATTTTCTAGCCATTGGGCCCTGTGAAGGGGCGAATAGAAAACATAAAAAAGCATTTTTATCGCTTTTGTGTTTTTACAATGCGCGCACGCCGCACGCGCGCGCGCCATGCGGGAATGCGGGCACCGGCCAATTCGAGCCAAGCCAAGCCGGGCCAAGTCAAGTCAACACAAGCCAAGCCAAGACCACCGACCGCGTTTACGCAATCGTGCAACACGAGGCATTTGTTTCCGAAGAGGGACCAGAACAAGAAGTACGATCGTGTATCGGGTTCAGCTGTCTTTTCTCTGCCTGCGCATTGTTTAGTTTCTGCTCCAGAGTGGTCTGGTGTTTGTGTGTTGGTGCTTCTGCTTCCGCGCCTTGTTTGGATTGTGGGCTGCCGAGGAGCTCCCACGGAAGAAAAAAGAACTACCAGACAAGCAGGTGCCGTGCTGCTGCATACCTGCGTAGTCGCCAAGTGGATTGTAAACGGAAGGACCTGAGCAGTGAGGATGAGTGCAGTCAGAACATAAACTGATATTTCTTCTATTTCCATTGACTTTTCACTTCTGCTATGCCACCGAGTGCGAGAAATTGACGCGGCATCGGTTCGCGTTATAATAGTAATAATATTTTTTTTCTTTTGGGGGGCATCAAAAACTGCCCTCGCGTTATATTCGTGGTCGCGTTATATTCGTGCAAATACGGTACATCGTTTTTAGTCTAATCCAGAGCCACCCTGAACAAGCGTCGCGTAGAGTCCAAGGACCTGTAATATCGCTCAAGATTTCTTGTCAATGTCCGCGTTTTTGATACTGTGCATACTATCCACCTTTTAGTCTGGCTGAGCTGCAGAAATCTCTTGCAATATTATTGTAAAATACCGCGCATCCGCCCATACCACACTAAGTGCCCATACCCAAATTTGTAACATCTGAGAAAATATGCACTGTACATTAATATGTAAGCTTGATGACCGGACAAGCGCCCATCTCCCATTTTTTCGCGATTATTTCTAAATTTTGAGTGAACGCTTGCCCGGTATTTTACGCTATCATTCTTGTACAGCTTCAAAGACTGATATTAAATTAGAAATGCTAAAATACTATAAACAGCCCCACTGACTCCAAACTAATCCTGGTTTTGGTTGTGATTCCTCAGATTTTTAAGCAATTCCTGCTAAAAGAACAATCACAAAAAATGATAATATTGTAAGAGAGTTCTGCAGCTCAGCCAGGGTAAAAGGTGGATTGCATGCACAGTATCAGAAACGCTGACATCGACGAGAAATTTTAAAAGTGATATGACAGGTCTTTGGACTTTAAACGACGCTTGTTCAGGGTGACTCCGGATTACACTCGAAACTGTGTAACCATCAAATTGGTCGAAATTACTGATCACTAGGTAGCTGATCAGGACCACTGTTCCCATAATTCCTCGAGTGCGGTCTGGGGCGCTTGGGGGATCAAGCAAGCGGTCTATTGCACAAATTTTTTTTAGTTGCTGAGAATATGCGGACAGATTATTTAAAATGCAATGTGCCTCACTAAATGGCCTCTCACACTGACTGATATGGTATCAATCGTTTTTCTGTGCGATGAGCAGTTTTCTCAAGCACATTTTGGCCTAATAAGGAGAGATAACTTTGTAAATTATCCGTTAAAAAGCAAACAAATATTATTTTCTGTTATGAACCGAGTGCTGCAGCAAAGACTAGTAAAGGAGGACGCAAAAAAGGACGAGCAGTCAGACAATTATTTAAAGCTTGATTATTGCTAAGTGAGAGATCGCTAAAGGCTGGAAATATCTTTCCTGTCCTGTCATTTCTGTATTGTTCCTCGTATCTGCTCGTAAGTTACGTTTTAAGGTTAAAAAGCAGACATATTGGGGTAGATATCTATGACACAGCCTAATAGTGGTGTGCACAAAAAACTGTATAAATGAAGTGGCATCTTGGCACACCATTTGTAGCATTTAATTTAATAAGTGTAGTTGCTTTTAGCCCATAAATTTACCAATATAGCATCACAAAAAAAAACTTATAGTAATTTAGGTGAAAGCAGACCATAAGTAAAATTTCATATTACAAGCTCAATTCATAATGAGGATAGCATTATACACTCATTCGTGAAACAAAAATTTGAACACTTTCCTGTTTTGCCTTAGACTAAAGATCAGAGCCACGATTGGACTCATGAGACGTTCAGAAAGACAAAGACCAAACTGCAGAAAACGAAAAAAAAGGGCTGTGTGGCATCCATGCACCTTAAGATCATTGAGACATTTCCAGATTTCAAGGTAAGTAGCAGAAAGCATTTTAAACTTATAAAGAAACCTATCGCTATTGTGTTAATGTTTATCGTAAAATAACAAGCAAGCGCTCAAGCTCAAGTTGGAGATATAACTACGAAAAAATAGAGTTAGCTCTGGTTATGTCCGAGGGCAGAAAAGCAGAAGAGGCACATGTACAGTGGCCCAAGCCTTTAATAAAATCATGCGAGCGTCGACCACCGGGCTGGCCAGCGCCATGCCGCCGAGGGGTGCGGTGATACGGTAGAGATTAGGCACATGCGCTAGTGATGCAAAACTATCGACAAATTGACTATCGATACTATCGATAGTTTTTCCAAAACTATCGATAGTGTTGCAGAACTATCGATAGTCTACTATCTATAGTTTTTTTTATAGTTGACCATCGATAGTACTATCAATGATTTTTCTACAGTCGACTATCGATAGTACTATCGATATTTTTCCGGTAGTCGGCTATTGATAATACTATTCATAGTTTGTTTACTATCGATAGTCAGATTTCTGGTGACTATCGATACTATCGATAGTACTATTGATAGTTTTGCACCTTTAGCATGCGCACAAAGATCTTTCCGGTGCAAGCTTCGTCTGCTAGGCTATTCCGTTGACCGCACACAGCCCCTGCTCCGTGGCAAAGGTGCACAGGGGGCTGATTGACATAATTGTTTATCCAACGCCCACTGCTCTCTCTCTCTCCCTGTCTCTCTCTCTGTGTGTCTTATCTGTTGGTAGAGAAAAATGTCTGAAAAGCGAGCGCTGGCGTGATACTCGTCTTGCACGGCACGAACACTGGCGTAATGACGATAGTTTTATTCTCCGGTCTGGTTGTGTTGTTTCGTGTTTGAATTTGGGGCCAGTTGCTCAAATGCGGAACCGCTTGAGCTGTCCGCTTTGTTTACACTTGAGTAGCATTTCTTTCACATGTAATTTTCTGCGTCCTTCCGTACCTTTCACAGGTTGAGGAAGCGGAAGGAACCTCAAAGCACCAACTTAAACGCTTGAAGACTGCTCAACTGGCGAGGCTCACTGAAGCACTTTCTTCGGGACAAGCACTGGAAACACACAAAATGATATTCTTGACAATGTCTAGAAAATCGTGCCACACAGAACATGACTTTTCTGTGTTCACCAATTTTGGACTGACCGTGGACGCAAGTGTCAGTCGGCGAATCAGGGACTTGGTCCGTGAAGGCATCACCTCAGTGCCAGAGGTGAGAGAATGTCTCCGACACTATGTGGAGGATGTCCTCTTTGCGGGGAAACAACCCCCTGACCCTAGCTGCCGAGCATTCTACCCTACGAATGCTAACATTGGCAATCACATACAAATGGCGCTAAGGCAAGAAAGGTGCAGCGACCTCGATCAGGAGGTCGCTGCCCCTTTCTTCGACTGCAGGTCAGGAATGCCACTAGCGATAGACACAGTTGATGGGCTGTCACAAAGAGGGTCAAACATCCAGTCGCCAGAATCGGAGGCTGAAACACACCAACTTGGCTCCGGCAGCCTTCCAACCAGGAAAACAAACCACTTGTCAAAACTCCGAGGGTCTCTACTGAACAATTTGGAAAAAGTAAAAGGGATGGCAGTGTATTGCACCAACAAAAAGAAGGTAGAGAAGGCTCATCTGTATCTAACTGAAGCGCAGAAACTTTTATTGGAAGGAGCACCTACATCAGGTGACATTGTTGTGCGGGGTTTGCCAACTGAGGGCTGTTCAGGAGAAAGAAAAAGAAAATGGGTCAGGTCTTTGACATCATTTGGCACTTCTGCTCTAAAAAAACCCAAGCTCACCGCCCTGGAACATTGCTATAGTCAGAGGGCAGAGGAGGCTATAAGGGACAAGGAATTTGAGAAGGGTTAAACATAGCCCCTGCAGTGTAAACAAGTATTTCCATGCATTTTCAGGCATGTCCCTTTTTTATAATTTTTTATAACTTATAAGGCATTTGACAGCATTTTATTTCATAGTCCTTAGTGTAAGTTGAAATGAGTGCTACGATCAATGATGCATGCTTTGTTGGGCTTGTGTGTTAGAAATATCATTGTCTAAACACTAGCAGATTTTTTTTTTTTTTATTAGAGCCATATGGTATGTTTCATTTCTCACAAGGGATTTTGACTGTGATTTTACTATTTATTGTTGGCTTCAATAAAAGCCTTGCTATCATAGATGTCTGGACACCCAATCTTTTGCGTATGATTGAATAATCCTGTGGAAAGTTATTTTTTCACTCTTTTGATCATATTCTACCGTAAAATACCGGGCAAGCGCCCACTCGAAATTTAGAAATAATCGCAAGAGAATGGGGGATGGGCGCTTGCCCGGTCATCGATTTTTCATATAAATGTATTTCGCGTATTTCCTCAGATTTTACAGATTTGGGAATTGGCGCTTAATGTGGATTTAATGTGCACGTAATGGAACAGGCGTATGTTTTGTATTTAGTTATGTTGTCAATATATGACAAATTATTTATAAATATATATATTGCTGTGTACACATCCGCACTGCAATATTCCGCAAAGCTGCCAAAACTTACAATGTTGTACAGATCACAAAACGATACCCTTTTGCCCATGTTTTATTTGTGATGCCTGCAAACTTCAACAAAGAGACACACTTCATTCCTTGCTCTATAAAACAATGTGGCTTTTATAACTGTGCATGATAACCGAGAACTGTTCATAAGGTGTTTGCAGAGTGTTCTCTTTGTACTTGTGTGTTCTCTTTGTACTTGAGAGTATAAAGAATTTTGATTAAATTTTACCTTATTTCTTCATATGTTCCTGTACCAAAGGCAGCTAGAGCTTTGTGCTTGAAACTTTTGCCTGTAGTTAACTCTTCAGCATAAAATCCATATTTCGGGGAGGACTTGGCATTGAGACCATGTTCATTTGCACCTTTTCTCTATGCCGATGATGTCACATTGCTACAACCTGCCCTAGGCTCTAGGCACTATCGGGAGTTGCAAGAGGACCTGGATCTTATACACCAATGGTCACTGATAAATCGCCTGCCGCTCAACCCTTCCAAATGCTCTGCCATGCTGGTCTCCCACAGAAAACAGCCTGATGTGCAACCGACACTAACCATTGCTGGCAGGGCCCTCCACCACAGTCATCAAACAAGACTGCTGGGCATTATGCTTGACCATCGACTTCCAGTTCACTACGCACATCAACCAGGCATTATCAAGAGCCAGGAGGATGCTGGACTTTATCACTCAGATTTCTAGGGGTGCAGGAGTGGATACTCTCAAGAACCTTTTCACCGCGCTCGTTCTTCCTCAGCTCGAGTACTACTCTACAACATGGAACCCCTCGCAAGTTAGCCTCATTGCATCACTGGAGAGCGTACAATGTCGAGCTGCATACGATGCCCTGTAAAGAGGCCCCCACCTTGCCCTCCCTGTTACAAAGACATGCGGACTCCCCAGTTGCTCAAAGCTGTAGGCTGGGACGCTCTGGCCCTCCGACGGAAAGGGGCGTCCATCAGGCTGCTTGCCGGCATAACCTGCTCTGACCAGCGTCCCCCTCCCGCGTGATGAACTCCGACACACCCGTGATGGCGCTCTTCAACCTCTGTTCGTGCACAGAGCGTCACTGGGCGCATTAAGTTAACGCGCTCTAGCACGTTCCAACGATCAGAGTGCACTCGAGCTAAACTAAACAACATTGTCTCATTTCCAGTGCATGGTGGCGGAGCAAGCTTCATCGTCGGAGATGGTGTGCGAGAGCTCGAACAGGTCAGTTTCCAGTTAGATGACTGCGTTTCTGCTCTCACAGCCAGTCCCGTGGTAAATGGCCATCTATCTTTTTTTTTTTTTTCAAGAGGTACTACATTCATACAAGCTTTCATCTCTGCCACACTTTCTGCTTGAGAATAGTTCTTTATAATAAATCTAACTGCAGGATTTTGAATGTGCTCTATCTTTTCTATGAGATATTTTTGATGCGGGTCCCATACTGCGCTTCCATAGTCAAGATGTGGTCTAATACCTCTGTCAGACGGGCACCTAAAAGGACCTTTGCTTAATGACATTCACACTAAAGGTCCGTTGGCGTACGCCAACGGACCTTTAGTGTGAATGTCATTTAAGCAATGCCACACGCACGGTGGAAGAAACATTTAGGTGTTAACACTCTGTCCGACGCGGCGACCAGATTATGTTGGACGCACCGAGTGCTTCACTCGCACGGGAATAGATGGCGCCCAAGTATCGGGTCCCCTAAAACCCTTGATAAAGGTGCTTTCACAAGTACCGCCAACCATTGTTGTGAAAATGCGCAAGACACGTGCCACGAGCGGGTGCTCCGCCGCCACTCGCTTCCAAGGGCCGCTCATTTCAGTGCTGAGCCGCCATTTGCTTCCAAGGGCCGCTCGAGACCTGGGCCACGTGCGCTCGTGCATTTGGCGCTACTTGCAAAAACAAACGAAAACATATCGAGGGGCTTTAGGGTCCCCCAGAGCCGTATATGGGGAGAGTTTGGTCAGTCTATGATCTCGCCGCCGTAACGCTCTCCTCCCAAGTGAGCCAATCAGCATGCAGCGTAGAGCGAGAGGCATGAGCGCATGCGCGTGAACTCCCGGCTGCTCCCAGCTGAGTGGGGAGGGCCGCCATCTTCGATCATTCTCCCGGTAGAATGCGTGGGATCGGCATCTAAATCTCGATTATTGCCTTTTATATCGCTGGCTCTGGCAAGAAAATGACATTATATTATTCCTCAGTGGGTTAAAAAGCTCATAAATGAAGATTTTTCGGCGTATGGCCACAAACTTTTATTCAGGCGAAAAAGAAGTCTGCCCGTAGCAGACGACGCGTAGCCTCAGCAGTGCTCTTTTCAGGCAGCGTTGCTAAAAAATGGCGGTTGTCTCCTCTCTGCTCCCTTCTTTCTCTCTCGCTCCTTCGGCGCTCTCCTCCCTTTCATTTACTTTTCTCCTCTCCGGCGCCTTCGTCGCCACACCCACTGGCCAAACTCTCTCAATATACGGCTCTGGGGTCTCCCCCAAACCGACCGCTCTGGTTGTTTCTTCTAACGGTGGTCCCGCGTTCCCTCGCATTCCATCGAAATTTGTTTCTTGCACCGTGGCCATACGGCAATTCAGACGGCATTTAGCGTAAAGGTACTTTTCGTGAACCAGAGTTCCTGCAACCCCTTTACGGCTGCTAAAGGCGTACTCTCGTCAGCAGCGGTCTACACTCGTGGTGCGAATTGAAATAAAAGATCGTACTGATATCTGAAATCAATGTTTTTGTATGTTTATTATTAAAAAAAGAGTGTGTCACGTATATTCTGTACAGACCTCGCTCACGACCCCAGGCCTCGTCGTCCTAGGGAGCCTTCATGCGCGCTTTGCTAGCGTGATGCCAACCTTTGTAATGCCGCTCGCCGACAAACCAGCAGCCATTTTGGTTCTTGGCGATAATCCGTGGGGCTTATAATCCTCCCGGAAACAAGCACCTTATCTCACAAGTTCGGAGCAGCGTTGTGGAACCTACGGAGGGATGATTAGCATTTTCCTCCTCGGATATGGGATGACCGATGGACAGAAAGGCCAGTTTCCGGCGCACGGGGAAACAATAAGAGGAACAAAGTGATGGTGGAAGAGGGTGTGAAAAAGGGAAACAGGCAGTTGGCATCACTCCATGCGAAGCGCACATGAAGGCACCCTAATACCCCTGTTACACGGCACACTTAACTGCAGTTACGCTAAACCACAATTAGCGCACAATACTTGCCGACAACATTCTGCGGCGATGCAGTCAGAGCTATGGGCGAACGTGCGCTTGAGCATCTTGAGCACCCATCAAAGCAGTGCACGCGCTCTCTTCACTTCTTTTGAAATAGCTGTCCGAGGGTATAGTGCGGCATCTGTGCTGCCACGTAACCGCAGTTAAAGCTGAGTTAACCGCGGTTAAGTGTGCCCGTGTAACAGGGCATAAATCGTCCCACTGCTCGCCTGCTCGCATCGTCCGCTTCGACATCGGCACTTCGGTTTTCCTCATCTCAGTATATACCTTTCCCATGTTTACAAATCCACAGCTCAGCGTGCGATCTCCACAGCTCAGCACGCGCGTGTGCGTCGCTTCGGAAAGCGAGCAAATCACGCGCGATACGCACGAACACTGAAAATGAAACCGGCCAGCAGCCCTTTTCTGGAAAGGTCTATTCCTTACAGCCATAGTTATGTAGTTTTTATTTCTCTACTTTATATTTCATCATCCTTTAATAGTGTATTGCTAACTGTACTGCGTATGTTTAATATTTTTCTAAATATATATATTTCTGTATCTCACACTCTCGTCGTGTGATATGTCGAACGACGGTGGAGCGTCCACAAGTAGGAAGGGGTACCGAAACCGAAACTTGATTTAAAAAAATCGTCTTGTACCGCCACTAGCACTTCTAGCGGCCACTTTTATCTAAACGTTCCAGGCCTGGTCAAAAATTAAAATTTTGGTTGTGAAAATTTCGGGCAAGATGCTGTTTTTGGGATAAAACGGCAACTTAAAGACGGCTTTCAGAGCGGATCGAGTAGAAGAAAGTTGCTATTATAAGTTTTACACAAGGTTCCGACGGATTTCGAGGAGTTCGAGCAACTGGCTGTCGAAAGACCAAGGTAAACAGCCCTACCATGGAGAGCCCTACAGCTCGGGGGCTATCGCGATTCGCGATACTTCAAAATCTTTTCTGCTTATCCGAAATCTAAAATAATATAGGATCCTGTTGGTCTATCAAGCTTTTTCTTGGAGAGGACTTTGGGGCCATTTCATCTTGCTTGTGATATTGCCCCTTATCGAGGCTAGACAAAACCTACCGTAACCGAGAGAAAACAAGTTATCTAAATTCAAGTGCTTAATGCGCATTCACCCAGAGAAACGACGCGCGTTCTGGTCGACGCTGCCGACAAGCAAAACGAGGCTGCCCCCAGCCCTTCTGCCACAGGACCTCCTTAGCTCTACTGACCTGCAGAGGTCGGCATTTTAGGTCGCCCTCACTCACCCTCACCCTCACAGCCACACACCTAAGCCCCTCCCTTATGCTCACAGCTACACTCACCTTCAGCCCCTCACTCACCCTCATCCTCACAGTCACACTCACCTTCAGCCCTTCACTCACCCTCACCGCCCTCACGGCCTTCACCACCCTCGTGGCCCTCGCCGCCCTCACGCCACTCACCGCCCTCACACACTCATAGCCCTCACGCCACTCACTGCCCTCATGCACTCGTGGCCGTTACTCCACTCACCGCCCTCACGCCCCTCACGCACTCACCGCCCTTGCGGCCCTTATACCCCTCATGCCACTCAGGCCAGCTTCAGATGGGGCAATTTCGCCCAGAAACTTGGCGTCGCAACACCAGCAACACGGGCCACCTGCAATCACATGCAGCAACCAATTGCTGCATTTTGCCATCGTCATCATAAAATTTTATTTTTCTTGCACTATTTAGACACAATTACGCGTTATAAACATGTTTTTATGCATCTAAATCTCATTAAGAATACTAATGCACTTTTCTGAAACAGTTTATTTCCAAAAACGATCGATTTCAAACCAGAACCAAGTCTTTCGGTGTCATCTCCGGCACGAGGTATCACGTGAAAATTTTGCGTCCCTGATTGGATGCACGCGCTTCAAACGTCTTCGAATTGCTCGGAGTTGCTTGCTTATTTCGAGCCGGACCCAATCTCAGCAATTCATGTCGATCTAAGGAAAGCTAGCACCCCTCATGCACTCACGGCCCTCACGCCTCTCATGCCACTCACTGCCCTCACGCACTTATGGCCCTACACCCCTCACACACTCACCGCCTTCACACCCCTCACATACTCATGGCCCTCACGCCACTCACCGCCCTCACGCCCATCACGCACTCATGCTCTTCGTGCCCCTCACCGCCCTCACGGCCCTCATGCACTCACGGCCCTCATGCACTCACGGCCCTCACCGCCCTCACAGCCCTTACGGCCCTCACTCACCCTCACACTCATAAATTTTCCTGGTTCAGAAACTCACTCGCCCTCACCTCACCTGTGAAGATGAGGGTGAGTGAGGGCCCTCATGAGTTGGGTTTTCCGAGGTATGCTGACCTGTCGGCGTCGTCTCGGAGTACCTCGCGTTTCCCTAAAAAACCCGGAATTTCTTCTTTTTTTCATTCGTCTGCTTTGTAGGGTTGTTGCTGCATTGCATGGAGGTAGAAAGCTTCTGGGAGCGACATGACTCCACCAGAGGTGAAGCCAAAGGATAGTGTTACGACGGCGCAGGAAACATGACGATAGCGACTGGTGACGCAACAACGTTTATTCCTGCGGAGCTTGTGCTTTATATCGTAGACAGGAAAGGGGAAGGCGAAAGGGAAAGGCAGAGAAAAGTGGAAAGATCAGATGACAAACGCCACCGTGCTCGTGGCGGCGTGGCCAATCTGCAACAGTCTTCTCCCTCCTAGGGGGAAAACCGTACTGGGGCTCTCCTGGTTCGAGTCGGTCGTTGCAGGCCTCTGGCTGCGGGAGATGTGGCAGACTGGGAGCGCTTTCCAATGAACTTTCGGGAAGCGGGGGCTTGACTTGATCGAGGTGTCTGTGAAGGACGTCTCCCTTGTTGCCGTCGGCGGTGACCATGCGTGCACCGTCCGCGGACTATACTCTAGCTGGTGTCCATGGTTCGCCTCTCCCAAAATTTTGCACCCATACTGGTTCCCCTGTGTGGCCAGGATCGTTGGTATAAGTGTCGTTCCGATAATTGACTCGTGATGGTGGGGGTACGACCGCGTTATCTAGCCTTGAGCGCAGCTTGTATCCCATTAGCTGCATGGCTGGGGTCTTACCACCTGCGGAAGGTGTCCGACGGTACCGATACAGCACCCTTGCTAAACGAGTCTGCGGCGACCTTTGCTTGTTTTTTTTAAGTCCCTGTTTTACTGTGCGGACGGCGCGCTCCGCCAGCCCATTAGATTGGGGGTGGTAAGGTGCCTTACGAAGGTGCACAATGTTATTGAGCCGCAGAAACTTTCCAAACTCTTCATTTGTAAGCAGTGGCCCATTGTCGGATACAATGGTTTCTGGCAGCGCGAAGGTGCTAAATACCGTTCGCAACGCCTCAACCGTAGTCAACCCGTTGGCACTTTTCATGGGCACCGCCTCAATTCACTTTGTGTGTGAATCTACCACAACTAACAACATAAAACCATCCACTGGTCCCGCAAAATCAATGTGCAATCTGGACCAGCTTTGCCGCGTCTCTGGCCACGGAACAAGTGTTTGTCTTGGTGGCATCGGTGCGGCCTGAACACAAATATGCCATGTGACGTCTTTACGAGTCGCTCAATATCTTGGTCAATGCACGGGTACCACAGCATTGAGCGAGCTAGCGTCTTCATGGAGCCCATTCTCTGATGTGTGTCATGCAGTAGTCGTAGCATTGCTGGTCTGGCAACTTCCGGCACAACCACGCGATGGCCCCAATACAAAAGCCCATGACTAAAAGTCATCTCGTCTCTCCTGTCAAAGTAGGGTTTTAAACGGCTGTCCTCTTGTGCTAGACGAGAGGGCCAGCCTTCCTGTACCCACTTCTGCACCTGTGCGAAACCATCATCTTCCGCCGTCAAAACAACCAACTGCTTAGCCGACAAGATGCCATCGTTGAGGCTTTCAGTGAGGAGAACATACTCAAAGCCGTCCACCTCTTCGCTGATTCAGGGGGTGCTGATCTAGTCACTGGAAGCCGGCTGAGTGTGTCAACCAGAATATTGGCCTTGCCGTCCCTGTGCTGGATGACGTAGTTGTAGGCCCCCAGCAGCAGAGCCCACCGTTGGATCTGCCTCGCGGCCATCGCCGGTACGGTCTTATCAGGATGAAACAAACCCAGCAAGGGTTTATGTTCAGTCGCAAGCGTAAGACACCTTCCCAAGAGGTATGTTCGGAATTTCGACACCCCGAACACCAAAGCGAGGGCCTCCCGCTCTAACTGTGAATAATTCCGCTCAGCGGCTGTGAGTGTGCGAGAGCGGAACCCTATGGGGCACAGGACCCCCTGGCCAACATCGTGAAACAGTATGGCACCAATACCCATTGGTGATGCGTCGCACTCAAGAATTACCGGCTTGTCTGGGTCAAAATGCGTCAAGAAGTCAGCTTCTTTGAGTTGGGTCTTGCCCCGCTAAACGCACGTTGCTGCCTGGGTCCCCATTCCCACTTTGCCTCCGCGCGGAAAAGTTAGTACAACGGCGCCATGATCGAGGACGCGTTCTTGAGGAACTTGTGGTAGTAAGTCACCAGCCCTGCAAAAGACCTTGCCTCGATGGGCTCTGCTAGTAGCCGAAGTAAGGTCTTTTGCAGGGCTGGTGACTTACCACAAGTTCCTCAAGAACGCGTCCTCGATCATGGCGCCGTTGTACCAGCTTCTCCGCGCAGAGGCCTGTTTGGAAGGACACGCCCCCACCTATGACCACAAACAAAATCAAAAGACACTGTAGGACGGAAAAAACAGCAGAATTGGTGCCAACAGAGCTTTTGGCCCCCCTGGGGGGCAGTCCTACCACTGATCTCTATGACAATTTGCTGGATCGTGCTTCACTGTTCCTCAATTGCGACCACCAGAGGTTGTGAATCGGCCAGCTTTGGCCTGTATAAATCTGCCGGGTGAGGTGTTGCAGAAGCTTGGCGGCTGCGTACACTTTCTGCTCGTTTGCCGTCATTCGCTAAAAAGTCTTTGAAAACCTTGTGTAAATGACGTAGCTCCCCTTGAGAACCGGTGAAAAATTTCACGAAAGTGTGACACTGCAGAAAAAAGGTACAACTCGTCGAACGCGTCTCGCGGTTAGGCGGCGTAATCAAAGGACGCGCCTTGGCCGGCTGAAGTCCTTCATCAATGCACATTTTCACGTTTGGATACTGATCAAGAATCGGCGCCGTGTGGATGTGTTAACCCTTGAAAAAAGTTTGGAAGCTGTGCTGCGCATACATGCCTTTGCTGCACATATGTCGGTCGCGGAGTTCTGGATTGTCCATCTGTTCTGGTGGGTTACTAACCCTGATTCGTAGATGGTATCATGCACTATCAACCATGACTATGTTTGAATTCTGCTTGAATGGACCCGAATAACTCGCGTCATATGGCAACACAGATAGAGCAACGCAGTGGAGCAGCGCTGGACCGGAGGTAGGTTTTCGAACGCCACATAAGCAAACTCATTTCTGGCGTGCAAGTGCTGCAAGCTTTAAATACAAACTTTGAAATAAAGTAAAACGCTGCTCCATAGGAACATATATACACCTTTACGTATGTCATACTTGCAAATTTTCTCCGAAGGGTTAACACGGTGTCGATCTTTGTTCAGTATCCAAGCGTGTGAAGGCACAGAGCGGCAGTACTTTGCGTGCCAAGGCATATCCTTTGATCACACCGCCCGACCGCGAGACTTGCATACGACGAATTGTGCCTTTTTTCTGCGGTGCTACGCTTTTGTGAAAATTTCCACGGGTTCTCAAAGGCAGCTACGACCGTTTAGACAGGGTTTTAAAAAATATTTTTTTGGCGAAGGATGGAGAACGATCAAAAAACGTCTTTTGGCACTCAGCCGCCCAGCCTCTGCAACGCTTCACCTGGCAGATTTACATGGCCTCAAAATGGCCGATTCTTAACTTCCGGTAGCTGCGCGTGTACTGTTGTGACCAAGGGGGGATGCGCTAACCTGCAAATTGACATATAGATCAGTGGTTCCCACCGACCGCGGCCTCTGCTTCCAGTTTCACTTGGAGTTTTCCAGTTTGGCTGGCTTGAGCCGGTATGTCGCCTCCCTCTCCGTACCTCCATGTTGCCTTGCCTTTGTGATTGCATATGCACTCAAAATTGAATGGGTAATGGCAATGATTATATATATGTTTACACTCTAGTTGTATGCAGCATATGTGAGAGGCACGGACTCGAGCGTGCAGCTTCAGGTTTAGAAGGTTCCCTTTTTTCCCGTGTTTTTGTCCAAAGCTTGGTGCGGTGCTACTCCTCCGTATCCGTACCTCTTATAGCACTGCTCCACGATGTAACAAACACATTTAGGCGATGCCACTCGATCCAACGAAGAGTTCAGACTATGTTCGGCGTCCTGGTGCTTTTTTTTTAACGTTTTCATTTTTTTATTTTTTTTTATTTTAACAGCCGCAGCAGGGCACAGCATGAGCTCATTGGGATTTTGACGCCAGCACCACGCACGGTTTTCAACACCTTTGGCTTCACGCAGCCGATGCGACACTGCCGACGCTTTTTTTTAACTTCTAGTTCCAATTTCTCTGTGACTGTGCCGTTCACCGTTGGCAAACGTGGGCCTCTGCTGCCTCTTTTTTTTATTTCACTGTGGGCTTCTCGGTGGGAGTGGCCTCTACGTCGGTTGGAAGCGAACCATTGCTGGTTCTAGAGTAGATCCGAACGCATTCTGCCTGCGCCTCCTCTCCAGCAAGAGCGGCCAGTGGCATCACCTAAATGTTTCTTGCATCTTGCACTGCACACAGCTCGTGCGACAGTGTTTTTTGAAGAGGAACTGTTCTATTCCGTATTGGTGACATGCACAGAAGGAATGCGCAAAACATGTGAGGGTGATCGCTCTCGTGCAGAAGGAACACGTTGCCAAGTTTGTCATTCGGTGGCGGGCTTCACGCAAACAGTAACTAGTAGTTTCGCAGCGCCGCACACGCACAGCAAACACTGCTCATAGTCAGGAGTTCCAATCTGCTTACTTTTCTTCTCACTGAAATGCTTCCAGCAATGTTTGGTGACTGCCTGCACCTCTCTTCCTTTTTCCCTTCCCTGAGCATTAAAAATAAAAACAGGTCCTAACCAGAAAAGGAGGACATGTCAGGTTCGGAAAAGATTGCGAACAGAGACGTTGGTCTCTGCCATCATCGTCCCCGACGCGCAACTTTTTTCAGTACGATAACAAACAAAAAATGCACCCCTTGACCCACATTTTTTCACTGTGAATGCGCCTGTGGAGTACATATCACGCAAGTTTCAATTGAGACAGGAGTATTAGCACACCGCAGCTCCAAACCCCTTGGAGGCAAAAGCTTACACTGCAGAATCCAGGGACCCTGGTTTCAATCCCCTCCTTTGCCTGCTTCAATCTCGACTAGTATCATACCAACGTGCGATCGTGTATCAATACTGCGTGGTGCACATTAAAGGGAAGCTGAAGCACTTTTTAAGAAATCTGAGTTAGGAGCAGTCTTGTATAGCTTTTTCTCCCGTGAATTCAGTTATCGCACATCTCTTGGGCTGAAGTATATGCAAACCGCATTTATTTTGAAAAATATCTGCAGCGGCTGCTGCCGGGCATGTGGCAATCTTCTCCGCCGCCTGTTATTTGTCTAGAGCAGGGTTGGCCAAACTGTGGCTCGCAGCTCCCTCCACTCCCCCCCCCCCCCCCCCCCCCCCCACCCACCCCACCACTCCCCCACCTCCCTCCCGGTCACACGAGCACTTCCCCAAAAAGAGAAATGGAACACGTTTTAAATCGAAAGAGAGGTTGCGATTTGGTAGTCTTGTGCTACTGGTTCCTTGCGTACAGTTGGACTGCTTTTGACTCGGATAAATTGAAAGTAGTTTGAATCAGGGGTGGAACGGCTGCGCCATTTGCGCCATTTCGCGCCAGACGCATTTGTCTGCGCCATCCTGCGCCATTTCGCGGAAACTGCGCCACAGCCAATACCCTGCGCCATTATGCACCAAATCGCACAACGTGCGCCAAAAAAAAAAAAAAAAGTATTTTGTCTTGGTTTCGGTTTTTATCGACTCGATTGGCAACGGTTAGCGCGTTTAGCTTCGCCGGCCTTGCAATCCTTTGTTCTGTTTATTCTGCCTGTGTATCCCCAGTCGGAAGCGCGCAAAATAAACTCGGGGATCGGATTCGAAGTGCTACACCTGCGACTGGATTGTTATTCTTCAACCGTAAGCGGTTAAGCAAGTCGGCCGAGGTGAGGTCGAGTCGTTAAGCGTCAGATTGCCTGGGGCTCTGCGGCCCGAGGTGCGTACGTCAGCCAGTTGAAAACAAATGAGCAGAAGATTCCTTTTAGTACTTCATCGTTAGAAGTTGGAACCGCATTTCTGCAAGATAAATTGTGATTTGATAGAACTGAAACGCGGTCCGATCCGATACCTTGCCGGCCAACAGCTCTCACGCGAGCGGTAGATCTGCTCGGCGTTCTTTAACCTTGCTCCTGCTATTCGCTTAGAATACGACAACTCCGTTAATCGTAGTCTGCTGCTTCGGTATTGAGTTGCACAATAGGATAAACTCGAAATTTGTTTCCCTGTTCCTCCACGCAACTGCTCGTTCGTTACTTACGCACGTCAAGAGGTTCGCACATATAATTACTATGTCGAGCACGTGTGGGTTGTGCGATAAGCAGTGCTGGTTTGCATTTTGAGCAGCTGAAAGCCACTCGGAGAATATCAAGCACACCATCTTCAGAAACATATGGTAGTTGCTTTTTGGTTCTCATTAAGGCTCACAAAGTTTCAAGTTTTCGCATCTGTTACACTGTTATCCAATCTACCTAGGTCCCTAACCACTCATGTTCATCTGTGCTGCTAAGCAGAATTGAAATTGCTCCCGTGCTCGTCTAAGACACAAAATGAAGTGCAATGAAAACTGATCTGGGCTGCTCCTAGCCTGCTCCAGAAGGTAGTTTTAGCTGCTCCCAACCTGCTCCAAAACAGCGGTTTCAGCTGCTCCCGTGGCTGCTCCCAAATACATTTCATGAGTTCCACCCCTGTTGAATTTCGTTTATTGCTCTAGACCAGGGGTGGCCAAGCTGCGGCTCGCGAGCCGCATGCGGCTCTTCACGTGTTAAAGCGCGGCTCGCGGCTCCCTCCCCTACTCCCCCCCTTCCACTTCCATGCCTCCCTCCCGGTCACACGAGCACTTCCCCAAGTAGAGAAATGGAGCGCGTTTTGATATCGAAAGACAGGTTGCGGTTTGTTAGTCTTGTGCTACTGCTACCTTACGCACAGTTGGACTGCTTTTGACTCGGATAAATTGAAAGTAGTCCGAGAGCCCTGAACAAAAGTTTGCCCCCCCCCCCCCCACACACACACCCCGCGGCTCTTGGAAGTTTCGTGATTCTGTTTGCGGCTCTTAGGCCGGGTCAGCCTGGCCACCCCTGCTCCAGACAAAAGTTTGTACCCCCTTTTCTGCCTTTCCTCTTCCATGCGGCTCTTGGAAGTTCTGTGGTTTTGTTTGTGGCTCTTAGGCTGGGTCGGCCCGGCCACCCCTGGTCTAGAGCGTCGTGACTTCATGGTCGGCATCCCCGAGCCAGCTTAGTGGCGATCAAGGGTCATCTGACCCCGCTGATGACGTCTCTTTCGCGAGTTTCTCTCTTTCCTACTCTCAGAGCTTTCCTACCCTCGGTGCGAAATAACGGGCGGGTCTATGTTGAAATTCTAATTGGCTATTACAATGTTCCTTTTAATAAGATTGAAAGAAAGCTTAAGACACAAATTTTAAGCTACATTACAACTTTTACTGTTTGTTCGAGTTCAAGGCCTCTTCAGCTTCCCTTTAAAGACCTTAGGCTAGCAGTCGTACTTCGCTGGCTAAATTTCTCATCCAGTGTTGCCACACTTCAAAGGCAGACCAAAGTTGTGCTGTATAAACACAAACTTCAATATTATTTTTTTGTTGTAATTGTTTGAAGTTTAAATTTATATATTGGCTTCAAAGGATAGGTACACGGATTTGGCATTGTGAAGGGCCGCATACTGGACTATTTACTTTTGCGAGCTTTAGAGCCTCAAGCAGCACAAATGGCCTATGAACGTCCACACGACATTCCTGGAATGTTGGGACATCCTAAGGACATTCACAGGACTAAGTGTGCTACTATGGGCATCTTCAACGTTCAGCGCAAGTGTACAGCTTTTCTGTGCAGCTCTATCAAGGAAACATTGCCAGTGAAACGGCTTTGCTCTAATTGCTGGTGCATTTTTTGGTACCAGGCACTTCAAGTGACCCTGTCCCACCAAGATGAAGACGGCGATTGGTGTGGACCTGGTGGGTTCTATGGAGCATGGTATGTTTCTCTGCAAGCAACGAACAGTGGCACTGTCTTTTTCTACTCTTAGGGTCACTGCAGAGAAGCTGCAATCAGGTGAAAGAGGGGAATACATATTGAGGTGAAGCCAACTTTGGGTACATGGTGACCTTATGAGAACTAGTGTGCATGGCAGCACCTTATAGCACCTATTTGCACAACTGAACTTTTGCTCTTTGGAGCCATTGAAAACACGAAAAAGCTGAGACCCCCCTCGCCCCCCAGAAAGGAATAACCTATACTGCAGTTAAAGCCAACTTTAAAGGGCAACTCCGCTCAATTCCGAAGATTTCGGGATAATGATTGATTTCGAATTAAAAAGCCCTAGTAAAAGACACTACGTCGTTTGCTTCGCGAAAAATGGGATATATATTTTTAAATCTAATTTTAAACACGAGCGGAAATCGAAACCGAAACTTCGGCTCCGTCTGGCAACATTGGCCTCGGGCCGCCAAGTACATGGCCATCACGTGGTACGAGATGTCACGTGATCCTCGGCCCAACGACGGGCGGGATGGGGGCGGGCGTGCGGCAGGCGCGATCATCTGCAAATTGTAAAATCTCCGAGTGATGAATGCATACACTAATGTCATTCACGAATATGTTGAGAAGCAGAGGCACTAAGTTAAAACCCTGCGAGACGCCGAATGTAGAACTGTATGGTGTGTATATACTTGGTGCCCTTGCATGGAACAGGATTCCATTGACCATACAGATAGCTTTCAAACCAATCGGAAAGGGGGGGGGGGGGGGGGGGGGGGGTACACCATACATGCAGCGTTTTTGAATCAGCAAATAATGGCTGACCAGGTCAAACTTTTTTTAAAGTCAAAGTAAATGGCATCAACTTGTTGTTTTGACCCTAGTTTGGAACCCAGGAATTCTGTAAAGGTGAACAAGTTTGTTTCTGCAGGACGATTGGGTATGAATTGTTGATGCATACTTATGTGCTGTGAAAAGCTACATAAGAGACAACTATAGGCTGTCCAATACTTTAAATGGAGCAGAGCAAAAAATTGGCTGCAGAAACCCCTATTGTTGGTTGTCTATGAATCGTGATAGCATTCGTCATGACTCATGAGACTCGCGGCACAGTTTATGGGAGATACGACATCGCAAAATTTGAGTGAACATTTTATTTTATGAATGGTTTACGATGCAATCGTTGTTGGCGCGACTGCAGTGTCTCACTTTGAAATTGAGTGATTGCTTCATCTCTGTGTAATCGTTAAATCTTCTGTCTCTGTGTAATTGTTTGATGTTCAAGCTGTTTCTCTACCATCATTGCAACTTCGTGTGTGTGTCTTGTCCTCTCGTAATCATTTAATGTTTAATCTGTTCCACCACCATCATTGACCATGTACGAACTGGCTCAACTCAAACCGATAATTGCTTTGTAGCTTGGGCACAAATGTGAATATGTGCGTGCTGCTGCTCCCTGTATGCACAAGCCGAGTATCTGCCTGCTAAGACAACATCAAAGACGACGTCTAGGACTGCCTCTAGGACGACCTCTAGGGCGATCTCAAGGATGACCTCTAGGACGGTGTCCTAAAGGATGACGTCAAAGACCTAGAACGACCTCTTGGACGACCTCCTGGGCTATCTCAAGGATGACATCCTAGGGCAGTGGTTCTCAAATGGGGGTCCGCGAAGCCCACCCTCATCAGTCGAGCCCGGAAATAAAAGTTGTGTTTTCTCAGATTCGGAAGAAACGTTCCAATTTTCGGGTGCGTTTTCTCGTGTATATGTCAATAAGTGAAGTTTACTTCACACTAGCCCTTAGTGATATCCATTTCTTAAATCACTATCATAATTAACCTATACTTTCCTTCCCCTCGTCACGAACGGGGTCCTCCATCATCTCTGCCGATCCACAAGGGGTCCGCAAAACATCAATGGCTGAGAACCACTGTCCTAGAGGACAACGTCAAAGACGATGTCTAGCACGACATCTAGGGCAATCTCAAGAATGACCTGTAGGATGACCTCTAGGACGATGTCCGCATACACACAGTGCCTGCGTTTGCAAATGTCCTATATATGCGGAGGCACCTCCACATACGTGCGTTCGTCATACACGTTTGAGGCCAGATGCCATATTGCGAAAACCATGTGATGTAGCTAATGAATGCTATCACGTTAAAATGTGACCAGCCAGATCAGTGAAGGCAATGGCCCTTCTGTTAATTGTATGTGTATCCATCTCCATTGCCCTTTAGACATGATGCAGAAAACCTCAGATGAGGTGTCCAGAGGAGTTGTCTCGTGCTCATAATTGTTTACTTGTATGTGAGCATTTGACAGAGATGTGTCACGTTGGGGCAAGACTCCTAGTTAAATGGAGGGGAGGGAGAGAGGAGGGGAACCTTTCACTTTTAGCTGATTAAAGAGGTATAATTTATTTTGGTGCTAAACAATACTCAAGGAAAGAAAAGGCATCAAAATAAAAATATTGTCAGGCTGTCAGCATATTTTTTGTCATGGGAGAAACTAAACTACCACTGAAATTTCGAGACAATAAAAAAAGCCATGAGGAGCATGACACAGCAGTGGTGCTGGACCACCTGTTGCCGGTAGCTCTGGGCACTACTTGGGAAAAAGTTTGTTTTATTTTGCAGCATGCTGCTCATTCTCATTTTCTACTTTTTTGTTTGAATAATCTTTTGACTGTCCTTTTCTGTTTCCCTGATTTTCAACTCAGTTATTTGAGGTGCATACTAGTTTTCAAACATGGTGTGTGCTAACTGATTGGCCTTGTATGTGATTGCTGCATTTGGTATACCGTTTCTGGGTGCCTGTGTGGCTCCATAATTGCGTGGAATGCTGTTTTCTATGAAAAGTTAAGATTACAAAATAAAATTAGGCATACATTTTTACTGCTCTTCTCATTCCTGTAGCATAACTTGATCACAGGCTTCTTTATAGTGTATATAACTTGGGTAACCCTGAGTTGAACACTTTTTTTCTTTGCGACTCCAATGTTCGAAATATTTTTACTGCTCAGCGTAGGAAATGCACAGGTGATCACAGTCTAATGTAGTGTTATGAACCGGTTTGTGCTTGGTAAAACCACCAACGGAACCATTATTTTGCATGCACGACTCGGATGGAACCGAACCAGAACAAAATGCAAAGCAATTGAACTCAAGCCAAGCTCAAAAAATGACTGGTTTGACATTCTGGCTTAAACTGACATTGACTGGTTTCTATCTTATGAAATTATTAATTATAGTTGGGACTGGGAGCTTCTGTTAACCAAAACCAAGCGGGAGCAAGGAAATAAGTCACCGAGTTTAAGGCAAGGTGCAGTGTTGCAGGAAATCATTTAGCAGTACCCGTTATTAAAGAAGGTTACTCTGCTGATTGGGTGTTTTGCGTGTGTCAAAATATCCAAGGTCTCTTCTTTGTAGGGGCTGGAGCTGCTTTGTTGGCGGATATCAGCTGCCCATTGCAAGCCACCAGGGACATCCTGTTCAGATGCTGTTCCTGCACCCATGTTACCGCAGATCAACGAGAAATTATCAGCCACCTGGTTGCCCACGGTGCCATACAAAGTCCCCAGATCCTTGAGAACTGGTACAGCCGGAATGAGTACGCTCAAAGTCACTTGCACGATAAACCTTACGAATGCAAGGTGTGTCCCCCAGCTTTTCCTAGAGCTAGCACGTTGAGCAGTCACAATCGAACACACATAGGTGAAAAGCATTACCAGTGCAAGCTGTGCCCACGAGCTTTTAGTACAGCTAGAATGCTGACCTCTCACAATCGAATGCACACCGGTGAAAAGCCTTTCAAGTGCAAGATGTGCCCACAAGTCTTTGCTAGAGCTAGTGGGCTGGCCTCTCACAATCGAACACACACAGGTGAAAAGCCCTTTAAGTGCAAGCACTGTCTCAAAGCCTTTGCTCAGAATTGGGATCTGACCATCCACAATCGAACACATACGGGTGAAAAGCCTTACACATGCAAGGTCTGCCCCCAAGCCTTTGCTACAAGTTTCAATCTTACTGTCCACTATCGAACACACACGGGTGAAACGCCTTACCAATGCAAGCTGTGCTCCCGAAGCTTTGCTCGGAAACATGATTTGACCAAACACATTCGATTGCATACGGGTGAAAAACCTTACAAGTGCAAGCTATGCCCTAAAGCTTTTGCGGTGAATGCCTATCTTATTGTCCACAATCGAACACATGCAGGTGAAAAGCCCTACACATGCAAGGACTGTCTCAAAGCTTTTGCTACGAAAGGCAGACTGACTGCCCATAATGTGATACATACAGGTGAAAAGCCTCACAAATGCAAGCTGTGCTCCCAGAGCTTTGCTCGTAAATGTGATCTGACCAGACACAACAAAATGCATAACAGTTGAAAAACGAGTCTTCAACAGCTCTGTGCCAACATAAAAAGATGATGAACCTAAGGACATTCAAATAAAGATGGACAGGGAATGGGTCGTTCCAATGCCAGCACTGTTCAAGAGGGTTCAGTCAGAGTTGTTCTCTATTAAGTCACATCTAGATTGCACTCTCTATGTCGTTGCAGAAAGGTATTCGAGTGGGAGGATAACTCTTAACAGTTGCACCTCCCAGCAGATGTAGAAACAGGTTATGTAATGCAGTGCACAGTCAAAGGCTGCTAAATCTTGGTGTTCTACATCTGAATACAGAAGGAGCCACAGCCTGATTGTGTTCTAAGGCACATTGCAATCCTGCTTGAGGTATTGTTTCGTAAGTGGCTGAATATTTTTGTAAAAATGTTTTATGATTTCTTTTTCTTGACTCAATTCTTCTGTAGATGAAACCTTGCAACTATAATAAATGTTGCACCAAACTTTGGCTTCTCTGTTTTTGCGGGGCTAGCAGTTTGAGCTCCCATGGTATGGTATTTCTTTCGGTTTTGCAGATATTGCTAAACCGATGTCAATGGAGTGTCACTGGGTGATGTTGAAGTGGGCGTTAGGTGATGTGTGGAAGCTGTTTAGTCTGTTTCCATTTTTACATTGTGTGCCATGCCGAGAACTTGTAACAGTTATCTCTATGGGAAATTGGGTATTGAACATGTACTACACACTCTGCAACTCACCAGTGCATGGAGTGGAGGTTTGTGGTGTCTGGACATCCAAGATCTCAGTTCCTACTCTAGCAGGTTTTGATATTGATGTTTACCAGTGTGCAGGTTTTTAAGGGGGAACACTGGTCTTGGAGCTTTTTTCTTATTTTATGACCAAACCCAATGAAACTGCACAAGCTTGTTCAGCTTTTTGTGCTGCTGATTTCATATATCTGGTCATTTTCTTAGTCAGTAGAATTGTCCTCAAGAGAATTAAAACTTGCCTGTTTTTGTCTGGACCAACGATAGGAAGAAAAACTGCTCAACAAAATATCTTTTTTAACACATGGCTATATGGTATGAAGTGTAGAGAATACAATGTTGGAAGTACTTTTAAGATAAACCCATTATTAGTGACTTTACCACACATTGAAGTTCAGTGCTCAGTGCTAACAAGTAATAAAACAAAAGATCAAATAAAGACTTTTCCAGGCTTATATTAAAAAATCTACTCTCATTTAGCTATACGTTTCAAGAAAAGTTATATTTCTATCTGTGCTAGATGTTGAGATAGCCCTCCTGCAAATTTTCAATGAGTCCTAAATTGTGTTTGGTGAAAATAATGTTTTACAGTCAACTTCAATACACATTTAGCCCGTTTAGACATTATAAATTGATATATAGCTCAAATATTCATCTATGCAACTAGAAGCCTGGTAGATTCAGAAGAACAAGAGCCGTCGCCATTTTCAAAAGAATGCAGTTTTAGGAAGTTTTTGGCTCCAAAGATGTGACGTGTGGTCAGAGTCGTCTTATTCCTCGATTTTTGTTGGCACCGGCACCACCTTGGTTTTGTATCTTTGTGATGCCTTTTAATTTTTAAACATTACTGTCTTTAGCATTTACGTGATTACAATAGTGTGTGGTTATTGTTCTCGAAGTTTGCAGCCTGTTGCCTGGTTCTCAGTTCTGTGTTGAAAACTAAAGACATTCTGTCTGAACCCAGGTAGCACACCATGTCGGCCGATACTGGGATTACGTCGGCCAGTACCGGGAGCTGTACGGCGGATCCCGGCCAGGGACGCCGGTGAGAAACCGACGCCGGCCGATATCGGGGACTCGTTGTCTAAACTGGCCAGCACCAGCCGGAAAGTTCCCGATACCGGCCGAAATCGTTTTCTTGCTGTAGTCACCGGCCAGTCTAGCCATGGAGTGTCCGGTGACTGGCCGACATCGTTTTCTTGCTGTAGTCACCGGCCAGTCTAGCCATGGAGTTTCCGGTGACTGGCCGATATCGTTTTCTTGCTGTAGTCACTGGCCAGTCTAGCCATGGAGTTTCCGGTGACTGGCCGACATCGTTTTCTTGCTGTAGTCAGCGGCCAGTCCAGCCGTGGAGTCTCCGCTGACTGGCCGACATCGTTTTCTTTCTGTTATCACCGGCCAGTTCAGCCACTGAGTTTTCGGTGACTGGCCGACATCGTTTTTTCGCTGCTTTCACAGGCCATTCGAGCCATGCAAGTTTTGATATGTAACTGACATGGCTGTTTCGCTGACATGGAAACTATATGATGGTTACAAATGACCGTTAGGTTGGGTATGTCTTCAATATGCTAAAAGGTGACACCTAATATTATCCTTGGCCTAGTATTACCGCCGCGTCATCCTTAAACCACTTAACAAAGGCTTATTTCAGTTTTGTTAAAAAAGACGGGATCAAACATGGCTGTGGAATGAAAATTTAATTTGGCTTACATCTATTAATTTTTTAGAGAGCAGCTCTTAGGCGCCCGTTTCCGGCTTGAGCGGCATCGCCGTCGCAGTCGCCGTCGGCGTAACCGCGCGTTGCATTATGGGAAGCGTCCCATAATGACGGCGTGTGTGACGTCACGAGGGTCCCGCGCGTTGCATTATGGGAAGCGTCCCATGATGCAATGCGCGGTGGGCGACGGCGACGCCAACATCGCCGTTGGCGTAACCGCGCGTTGGGTTATGGGAAACGTCCCATAATGCAACGCGCCGTCTCATTTGTGACCCGCGCATTGCATTATGGGAAGCGTCTCATGATGCAACGCGCGGGCCGGCGACGCCAACGTCGCCGTCGGCGTAACTACGCGTTGAGTCATGGGAAACGTCCTATAATGCAATGCGCAGTCGCATTCGTGACCCGCGCATTGCATTATGGGACGTTTCCTATATTGACGTCACAATTGACGTCACGTGTGACGTCACAAGGGTCCCGCACGTTGCATTATGAAAAAAGTCCAATGATGCAACGCGCGGGTCACTCGTGACCTGCGCGTTGCATCGTGGCGGCGAAACTTGCTTTCGATGAGTTGGGCATTTTTACTGCGGCACTGCGCTTCCACATGTTCTCAACGACAAGTCTCAGGGCTTACACCGGGTTTTAAAGAGCTTCTTCGACGAATGACTACGAACGAGTAGAAAACGTGTCTTCAGCATGTTGCCGCCAGCCTCCGTAACGCTCCAAAAACGCGATTTTTCGACATGCAAAATCGCCGATCGGTGGCTTCACTCTCGCGCTGCAGCTGCAGCGACCAAGCGGGGATGCGCGATCCAGTCCTTTGTCCAGGCAGATGCCGAGCGCTCCGCGCAAGCGGTCGTTGAGCGGTCGGCCTCAGTAAGCGATCCACCCAGTTGCACGCGCTGCCACCGCTTTCATAGCGTCTGCCCTCGCTTTTTAACAGTTTCGGTTCCCATTGCTATCTTGCTGAAAGCATGAAGTTCTGATCGGAATTTCATGCTTTGACAAAAATGTTGATTGTTACTACTTTATTAACGGTGACCCCGACGTTGAGGCAGTATTTATTTTTCCTTACAGTTATATAAACCCGATGAAGACAACTACAAGTGCTTTTGTACGAGCCGCAGGATGCAATAGGCCCTTTGCAAAAATCCCAAAAGCCCGCGCGCGCCGCGCTTCAAATAATGGGAGTCCTCGGTACGCCCCTCCTCCGGCTACCACGTGGCATACGCGAGCAGGCACAGGTTACCACGGCAACAAAGCAGCCGAGTTAGGCCGCTGGTTGGGCGAGCGACGATCCGACGGCTGCCCCTTTCGTATCCCTCTCCTTTGTACCGGTTCTGTCGTCTGCTGCACCAACGCTTTGTCGGACCTGGTCGAAACCTGCCATGGTTGCGGTGCAAACTAGATGGATTTGGTGACACTTCAATACGTGAAGGTAAGTTCCGACGAATAACGGATTGGAATGAGTTCACCTGTCGCGATGCCTTTACGCTGCCACAGATACGGTACGCCGGCAACGACGTACGACTCGGCGGGATGGCTGCAACGGCTGCTGGCGGTAGCTGCCGGGACGCGCGCGCAGTCGCGGAGGCGCAACGAGAAAGCGCGTGCGCGTGATCTTTACCGAGGGTTCCCAAAATTTCCTGCCCTCGTGGCGCTGTGCGTTTTGCAAAGGGTCTATTAAGCAATACCAAACACGTATACCGTAAAGCGACCGTCATCTCGGAAGGCGAGTTCCATCTGAGGGGAATTTGACGTATTGTCTTCTAGCAAACGACATACCTAGCTCTTCATCCGAATAGGTGCGCACAACGTCTTCGACGTAACGCCATATCTTGGGCCTCTTCGCTGGCAAGGCGAATGAGTCGGCGAAGACTTCGCCGAGAACGGCTGCCTCGTTGTCACTCGAGCTGGAGCTAAGCTGGTATCTTCGTCGCTGTCGCTGATTTCGCTGCTACTGCGTTTTCTTAGACCTCCTGAAATTAACTGCAGCGATGTCAGCGCCGCAGTATGCTCGAGCCAGTCGGTCATGACAAGAGGAACGAAAGCAAGCACAGCAAGAGAGCCCACACAGCAATCGAAACAAAAAAACAGCGAAACTCCTTCATTCCCCCGCGGCAACGTTGATAACGAAACTGAAATGTTGCGAGTGGCTACAGATCGTACTCCCCCGAAAAAGGCTGCGCGGAGAACTACTCCGGGTCCGAGCGGTCTGTCCGAGGAAGACACAGTTCAGGCGGCATATTCGTTGCTTACATCTTTCTGCATGATCACAATCAAAACATCACGTGCACCCTATATTCAACCAGAAAGGGTCACTACATTTAACTCTTACGCGCTTATTAAAACCAGATCTGCTTCTCGCTACCACTGCTAGGGGATTCAATGGACTACTTCCATAAACCCCTGCGTGCAACACGGCGCACGTTGCTCTTTGGAAACTAGTTGGCCAGGGAGGAGAGTGGCATGGTTTCGGTTTCGATCGGCAGCGTTTAACGGCCGTGATCTCACGTTTTTTGGTCACGAGAGCATCATTTTTGGTCTCTAAACTAACCTAAATGGCCAGACCTCGAATCTATAGCACAAGCCCGAGACGTATAGCTTGTCTTCACACATGCTTGTTGCATTTTTGTACACTATCGAGCCTTTCTGTTTGCGTTTCGAGATATATGTGAACGAGCCCGTGCTGGAAATCTCGACGCTGCGTAGCTCGGGTATCTTCTTGATTAAAGATTAAAACAGCGCAAGGACACGGACAAGCACGGGTATCTTGCTTGTCTACGAGTCAACAAGCTGTAACGACCAATAAGTTTGCATACATCAAACTCGACCCTTTACAGCTGGTCAGGAAGTTTGTTTTGTGCGTCCATAGACGAAATATTATTTTTTGCAACTACTCTTTTTCTTAATACGCCTAAGTACGTGAGGTAAAACTTGGAGGCGCCATTGAAAAGCTTAATTTGAACACACATCTTATCTCTTATCTGTACTGACCCGCAGCACTGCACGAAGCTAA